AAAAAAAAAAAAAAAAAACGTACCGCCTGCCGCTGTCATCCAATCAGCTTCTGTCTGGGCCACACAATTAGACAGCTGCCAGATTGTTTGTCAAATGTTTCCATGACGAGTGCAACACCTTGGAGCGTCCACTAATTGAACCTACTGCATCAAGTTCCCAGCCATTCAACTGTCCAACGGCAAGACGCGGGCAATGAATTTTTTTGCAAGCAGCCAGTGTTTTTTGGCAAAGGGCAAGTACTAATCCCCCAAGAAATTTAGCTTTGCAGGACTATAAGCCACTTAAAATGTGAAACTGCCACACCTGCAGCACAAAAAGCATTTACAGGGGGCCATTTTCTGCCCCCTGCGGCAAGCTGTGCTCAGCATTGGCACGGTATTGTGCTAGCTAGAGGGAGAGGGACATTAACATCTTAAGGGCTGCTAGTGGGTGAGACAAGGGACAAAGATTGCTCTCTGCTCAGTTCATTACCACAAGCTTTCCTGGGAATGTATCTAATGATGCCATATTGCAGCAAGTTGAAGAGGCAGGAGGAAAAAGCAGAAAGAGGCAGCATTTAGTTTTAAGGGAGTAAAGAGAGGAGGAAGCAATATACTGTTGCATTTCTTTTGCTTCTGCTGTTTTCAAACATTTCTCTGGTCAAAAGGACCCCAGTTGGAGTGCATCTAGAGGCTTATCTCCCAACGGACGTCATCCATCAAAGAGGAGAAGTGAGAGAAAAAAAAAGCCACCAGCTCGGTAACTGATATTAATTAATCTGAACGTCTGCTCCCTATTGTGAGTGACCCCGCAGCAGCAGCAGCCACAATTCCAAACAGGTTAACACTTTAATCAGGTTCTAGTGCAGCGTATAACATTATTACACAGATATAGGTGTATAACATTTTTTTATTTGTATAACTACATTTGTAATTGTATCAACTTTCACTGAGACTATATCCAGCCTGAACTGGCTAAATCTGTGCTGTTTTGGTCTTCCACCCACACAAAAAAACACCCCAAAACTGAGCTTTTTAAAACCAGTCTACACAGTCGATAGTTAATATGACAACTTTTTGACTCTGATCACTAAGTCATTACCTGCATTATTACCATTTATTCTGTCAGATTTGCAATCACTAAATAGTGATATGGTTGATTTCTCAGTACACCAACACTGGAATTACTGTTTGGCTGGCGAGCAGGTAGCATTTTAAGCCTCAATCAAATCACTATTTAATACTTGTACATGTTACTTTTGAACCCTGAAGTCTAAACGGAAACTAAATGGGAAAATTAAATACAGATCCATTTCTACCATTGTTACTCACTGAGCACAACTCACCAGCATGATCTGAGACTAAGAGAAGTTCCTACCCAACCCCTACCACCCACATTTAGCTCATTTCAACAGTTGCACATAGAGCAAATGACATGCGAGCAATTGTTAAAGGTGAATTTTATTTAACTATCAACTGTTGCACCGAAGAAGGACTAATCAATCTCTCCAGTGACTCAGAGTCTATGTAATCAACACCAGTAATTCAACAGCTCTGTTTACATACACTTTCATCTCGTGCTGCAAACAGCTTCATTGATTAACAGTGGGAGTTATGGGCTCATTTCCCTGATTACAACTTTAAGAAAACAGTGGGCTTGCCTGGAAGTGCTGATTGGGCCTCAGCCTGCGATAAACATATATCCGTCAGAGCAGGAATGAATCCCTTGCTTTTGCAGACTCCACACTTTGTCTTCGTGGTGTGACTCCCTATCCATCAATGGAGGTGAAGTGGCTGTTGCATTAGCATCTATTTCCCTCGCTCTATCACAGTGCTGCTGGATTCAGATCATATATTAAAAGAGAGTAGATGAGATTAGGGAAGTGAGTGAGATCCTCTACTTTACCCCAATTCAACCCTCAACTGTTCTTTATATGAGATTTATTAGTTAATAATACTGGTATAAACAGTTCAGCTTTCCTAGTGTCAGGGGGATACACTGAAGCACAATATGTATGCATACAGAGTGACCACAGCTATTCCACTGTGAGGTAAATTCAAAGGTACTGGTTTCTAAGCTTGTTTGTGAAGTAGCAAAGGCACAGCCAAGGATATCAAAGAGAATATAAATTGATTATTTCCATGCTTTATGAATTAAAGGACCCTTTGTTCACAACTGTCTTTTGTGATATGTTACACCAGAAGTTCATTCAATCTTGCAGCAGACGGTTTTGACACTGTGTCAACTGTTCCATTTGTATTCTATATTGTATAAGTTGCAAATGTGTTGAAAGAAAACTGACTATGTATTCATGTGGTATTTTCCGTTATTTTATAGGAAATAATCTTAAAGTTGAAAACATTTTAGTCAATCTATTTAACCTTCATCTCCATCTAGGAAAGTGATTCAACTTTTTTGGCTTGTGTCCCCTCCAGATATGTATTCAGACATATATAAATAGTGTGATTGAAACAATAGTGTGTGTCTGATATGTATTTTCTGCAAAAGAAATGTATCATTTCCACATTAAAACCCTTACATTTTTAATATATTCCTTCTTCCACATTATAAATTCCAGAATATATGATTATGCAAATATTGTTCAAGTTTTCCTGGTGGACACAAGATGTCTCCAACATCACCTTTTTCATTCTCAGTATATGTGCACTGGTGGCTTCAAGTTTTTACATTACAAACTGGATGAAGATACAGAATCTATGAATATGCTAATTTTGTTAATTTCTAAAGTTTTCCTGCTGCACACAAGATGTCTTCTTCTTCAAAGTTAAGTCCATTCTCAGTGTATGTGCTCTGGTGGCTTCCAGTTTCATAAATAGAATTTGCATACTGGACCAGGACTGACATCCAAATAATCTGTGATGTCACAAATCATGCTGCCCCTTAAAAAAACACTGATTTTCAGTGAGCACAGATGAACTTTCCACTTTCAGCAGATGAACGTGGAAAACCATCCTTCTAGCTGTCAACTCTGCCCACATACAGCATTGCGTGCACAGTGAAGCGTCCAAACATCCGAACTGTAGGAACAAGAAGAAAAATGACCTTTGAGTACTTTACACAAAGCTACTGACATGTGACCACGGTTACATTCATCTAAGATTTGTGAGCAGTTCAGCTGAAGAGGGATTTATCCTACTAAGAGTGTTTAATTTGAATATTTTTTCACAGATATGAATATGTAAAAGCACTGTGAATTTTACAAGAGAAAAGGTGAAAAAGGTTTGGTATATTGCGGTCACTGTGTGTAGAACTTGTCTGGTATTCTTACCATCTTAGAGACATGTCAGATTCAGCTGCTAAGAACGTCTGCCAATGCAAATGAGGGGTTACAGTAAATGCTTATTTTCTAATTTGATGCCTCACCAGGTCCATTGAGTTTTCACCAAGCTGGGTGGTATTAGCCTGATAATCAGACTGAATTGCCTTTTTTTTCACTTATACGTTGAAAGAGATGTGGGAGCAATTCAGAGGTCTGGAAGCAGAGGAGGGTGTCGCTGCTTTTCTGTTCACTATTGAACTTTTTTTATACCACATTCAATAGTCAAACAATGAGAAAGTCACAAAAAAAACATGGATGAGAAAGCTGCATGCAGGTTATCTAGGTCAATGGCGCTTAGTGGGAGATGTTAATTAGCAAGCCCAATCTTACCTTACTCCTTCCTTTTCACCTTAAAACAATATTCAGTGGTCACGCCATGTTACAGTCACACAATAAAAACAGCTCGGTATATAGTTGCTTACCTGGCCATTGCTACTCCGAAGACACATCCACCAACAATAGACCAGAAACCAATCCAACCTGCGTCCACCTGCATGTTAGGAAATAACAGGGGATAGTGGGATAGAATGGAAGAAGGCAGGAGCCAAGAGAGGTGAGGTGAGGAGAGGAGAGGAGAGGAGAAGAGAGGAGAAAATGTTATTCAGTATTCAAAATGCAGTCCATGACTGTGAGGACAGAGTTAGACAGGGAGCAGGCACTAAGTGTCTGAAGTCTACCGAGGCCTGTCAATCACTGTGTCTGGTAAATTGCCAAACAGCATTGCTATAAGAACAGCTGTGTGTGTGTGCGTGTAAGATTGTTGTCCTTTCTTATTTACATGGATGAAGGCCAACACATACGATGTGTTGGCCTTAAAGACAGGAGAAAGGACGTTATGGCAGAGAGACTGCAGCAGAATCAATAAGAGGGAAAGTTTAGTACATGTGCGCACACACAAAACCAATCAGTGTGTGGCACCCGGTCGAGAACGTCTCCGAGTGCCAATGAAGGTGTTTGGTTCCCATCAATCTCCCCGAGGCAATAACTTACATTCAACCAAATCCAACCAGATGGAAGATAAGACAGCCAGGGACCAGACTCTCAAGCAGGATCTGATGCTTTTTGCTTAATCATATTCTGCAGTGACCTGTCAGGAAAGTCTATAATGAAGAAAAGTGGACTATCAAAGTTATTAAATGTAAAATGTATTCTGCTTCAGTAAGTGATGAATGTCAAAATGTCATTATATTTGATCTAAATTACACTCCTCCAAGTGTTCTGTGAGGGCCGGCCTTCTGTAAGACGCTAAAAGCTCATTTGAAAGGCGCTCATCTCTTGTTTGCATGGCCTGAGCGGTGAACCCTCAGATTTGAAGGTTAATCGTGTCTGCTATATTGCGATTGCGTCAATAAGCTGGAAAAGCCAGGCCTCATGGCTCTTGATGTTAAGATGTGTATTTTTCCTAATTCTCTCTCTCAATCACTTGTTATAAGCCATTTTAAGCCAATAATCAAAGAACCCATCCTAAGCTTGGATCAGCCTTCTCGTTCAATAAATTCTAAATTGCTACTCTCCATTAAGGGAAGAATTACATATGACTGATCAGCACAGTAAGGCACCTGTTTCCTGGGTCATACTCAGTACGGTGAGGCTAAGCTCAGTGCTCAATCCTTCTGTCTGCAGGTCTAGCACATTCCCACAGCAGAACTCACACAGCAGGCATTCAGGCCCCATGAGTGGGGTGCTTTTACAAGATTCTTTAATATTCCAATTTTCAAATCAGAAGTAAAAGTTCTCCATCTTAGCCTTGGTACGTTCACCATCATTTTATATTTTGAATGGCTTCTGTCCTGCTTTTACCCCGACCCCCATATTCCCCTATGAGACACTCTGTTGGACATTGTCACAGGTCTTCTTTATATACCCAAAATACATGTAGATTGGATGGCAAAACTCTTAAAACATTTTGTATTTTAGCTAGAAAAAGCTGGTAGACTGTTCCACAGCCAGGATAAAACCCACTTTGTTCCTCCTGAATCTTAGGTTTGACCATTGGCTGTAGCCTCCTTTTCCAGCACCCTGGCATAAGCTTTCCCTGGGAAAATAAAACCCCCATCTGCCGGTCTATAGGCACCGTCCCTGACCTTAAGCTTAACCTCAGATTTCATTTAAAATAGCTTGTCAATATGAAGTAAACAAGCATACCTGCAAGAGGTGCTCGAGTCTGTACACTATTCCACCCTTGCCTTTCCTCCCCTGGTGTCCCCTCTATTGTGTTTCCCTTGCACTCAAAGTCAAGTTTCTCTCCAAAACACGAGCGAGCTAGGGCTGAAAGGCTTGTCTGGAGCACAGCATTGGGTTTTAACACACAGCAATGGTAGTTGCCACTCATTCTTTTCACCACAGCTTTACATAGGATCCTCCCTGTTATCTACATATGCCTTTTCATTTCGAGTCAGAGGCAAGAGCTAAACTCCACTCCAGGCTTTAAAATGGTTACAGTATATTTAGCTGGTTGCTGAAATTTTGTCTCTGTTCATACATGAGTTGACTTTATGAAGCCACAAAAATTAAAGCTAATTGGAAATCCATGTGCATGTACCTTAAGAAAGCCCAATGTGTAGTCACTCTCAAGTTATTACAGTTTCAATACCACCCAAAGTTAAGTTTCCTAGCCTGACTTCAGTCAGATCCCCTCATCACCTCCTGCTGCACTGTTAGCCAGACAGCTGATCTCTGCATGTCTCTGGCCCTCTGCCTTTCAATTACTGAATCAATCCCTGCAAGTTGTTAAACACCTGCATTTCCGGATCATATCTGGCAAACTCCTGAAATCTCTGCATGACAGCTGTAACCAGAGATCTTGCTTTGTGCTGGAACTGTTTTTGTCATCTTTCTTATGCCATCATGATGCCAATCGGGACACTTTACCCCCACAATAGCTTTAGGGCGCTCTAAAGTGGAATGGGCACAATTTTGTTTTTCCAATCTTAGAAAGTAGGCAGCAACATTTGTCTCATCCGATGACAACTGCTCCTGCTGCCCCACAGCATCTATGGTCACTTCTCAATCAGACGGCATGGCTAACTGAGAAAACAGATGACAGAAGCATCTATATTTTGGGTAAAAAAAACCCTGAAGAAACAGTTGAAAGAAAAATGCTGACAAAGATCAACTGAGGGTAGAGAGGAGAGAGGGGATGAAGGAAGATCTGAAAACTGACTGAAGATAAACGACTGCAAAGCTGTCAAATGTATGCACTTAAGAAGACAGAAAACAGCTTTTGACGTCTGTAGTACAGAGGTCATTGTTGGACATGAGTATGAGAGCGTGCAGCACCAGTCCTGCTGCTGTGAGAGGGAGAAGAGGTGGACAGGAAAGGGAAAGAAATAGACCTCCAAAAGTAGGCAGAAACTAGAACAGACAGTAAAAAATAAACTAAGATGGCATGAAGCTGGCACGTAGGTGGGATGCATTACATCAGATCCTGATGTGGTCGGTGAGTGCATATGAAGAGAGTCCAGTGCACTTAAGTGAAAAATGAGCATACTAGCATCCTGTCCATTCGGAGCACGATCTGGTCTGCATAGACACCGCTAACTAGAGGTGCACTTTGTATCATAACATATTGACACAAGCTACACACACAGAATGGCACTGGCAGCAGAAACATGTAGTAATTATTAGCAAAGGGTAGAGGTACCAATGTATACATATCTGCATGTGAGCACACCTGCATGCAACCACCCATCTGCACCAAAATGAACAAATTATTGGAAAGCATTTGGAAATTAATAGAAAGTATGAAATTGCTCTCTTGCTGTCAACGCAGTGTGCCTTGGCCTGCGGCTTTTACTGCATATTTTAAATTACCAGAGAAACAGTCAGACTCAGTTACATTTTCTAGGGATGAGAAAAAGATAATAAAAGAGCAAGGGAATAAAGCAAAAACATTTTTTTGTTCAAATGAAAATACATGGGAATTTAGGGATAGAAAGAGAGTACACACAGCCAACCTAGTGTTTGTATGAAATGCTCATTTTGCTCCCTGAACAGCATTTTTCTTTACCATTTCTGAATCTGACAGAATCAGCTAAGCTCCCAGCTTAGGCTACGATTTTGGTCTGCAGACTTATAGTGAACTTAAACAAAAAGAGGAGGCAGTATTTGCTTTTCCTCGGTTCTATTTGACTATAAGAACAAACATCTCCACACTCGAAGAAATAGAAAAAAAATCAGAAATATTATTCTGCATTAGTACTCCTCCACCTCACCGTGTTTAGATGCACCACTATCTGGTTTCATTTATTTTTTAAGCTAAGTTTTGTACCCATGGGACATTCTGTAACCGCGCTCACCGCGTTGCAACAAACTTTTTATCTTCTTAACACACTTTTTTATCTTCTTAACTAGCATGGATAAAAGAAATGTGGAAGAGAGAACAAATTAAATCCAAGAACAATTTGGTATGCGCTCTGCCACCTCTTCACTGAGGTATAGAGATGGAGGTGTGACGAGAAGTGTCTCATCCTCCGCTGTCCTCTGTGATCTCCTCTCAAGCAGCACCTGTCTGATGATAACCTTGAAAAGACTCTCCCTTTGTCTTTCGACATACTGCTGTGTCGAGGCCTGGAAGATGCAAACTACACACAGCTCTTTCTCTAAACCTGCACCACGCTCCCAGCCCCACTCCCACACTAGTCTTTCTCTTTGGTCTGCCTCAGAATGAAGATGGTGAGCAAATGGTGAATTGCAATTGATTGGGGCCCTTACATATGATGGACAGAAGGTCTGAGTAAGTTCAGTGAGAGTTCAGTGAGTGGAAAACTGAAAAAAGAGGGAAAAAAATTGTTCCTTGAAATATAACTGAATCTGGTTTTACGTGATGAAGGACAGTGTTTTTTGTATTCACAATAGTGTACGAGCTGCCTGGAGGCCTTCTACATTGAAATAGACTCCTCATGTACAGGTAGTAGTAGTACAGGAGGCCTGGGGTTAATTATTCCTCAAGATCTCCAGAATTTCAGATCTGCTTTAAAATGCAATGCGTACTTTCTGTGCACGGCCATGAAAGAGCACCTGGGCAATAACAGGCATTACTAGATCCTGAAATGTATTTCAGGATGTAACCACGAGACTGAAGAGAGGCCTTACCGGCTATTCATCGCATTGTTCATCTGATTGGGCTACACTTGTGAACAGCTTTGCAAATTACTGGCACAGTGGAGGTTTTCAAAATGGGAAAAAAATCAAACCTGTCAAATGGACTGACAAGCTACTCATGCTGCTTCGTTTTTATGCAGAAATACACATTGAGTTACTATTCATCATAAGTTGCAGCTTATAATATATACTGGATTGGTTTGGTTTGGTTTGCTGATGTTCTTACTTATTAAAATACATTAACAAGATTAAAGGTTAAATGGTATTCTGTTGTGTATGTGTTTGCTGCTTACCTGGCTGACTTTGGCTGGTGTAAGGACCATGTCGAGGACCCCCGACCAGCCAGCAATCACTCCTGTGGGGACTGCATAGGCCAGAGCGATCATCAGGAAGCGCACGTTACTAAAGGGGACAAAAACACATTAAGGATTCAAGATTGCACTCACATAAATGTCTTACAAGCTGCTGATTCCCCCCTACAATATGAATATGGATGAGTTCTTTAACCAGGTGTGTCTATGTGAGACTAGATGCATAATGTGTTCTGATGTCCTAAAGAATATGCTGGAAGTTCTGTGAGAAGACAGTAGGTTGTTATTCTGTAACCCTCTGGTTTATTAATGTACTACACCCACTTATCTGTGTTCCTTAAAAACAGACTGTCAAGATAATTTCTTAGGCAGGCCCTATCGCTGTCCCCTGGGTAAAAAGATCTTTATTTCTCTCAAATTATGCAATCAATTTTCATGGGGACCAGTATAAAGTTCACAGCACATCAATCATTACATACAGCAGTGCTCAGATCAATAACTAAATGGCCAGACTTCCATATGAATTTGTTGAGGCATCTACATCCTGTTTTCCCTCGTTCAAATCATTCCAACACATTTCACATTTGCTGTTATTACAAATTATAACAAAAGGGCAAATGTTCTGATATTTATAGCTGTGTGTCTCTATGACTCCCATCCTCTGCACGGGTGGGGTTCAGCAGTTGATCTAATCTAGAGGAGAGGATACCCACCACATAATCATAAAGGGTTTCATAGTCACACAATCCATCAACAAAATGTCACAAATTAGATCAATGCATGAGAACAACCTATATCCTACCAGCACTGGCCTAAGATGAAACAGTAAAAGTAGCATAATGGAATGTCTCCTTCCCCTTTTGGTGTTTGGAGGCCTGCCATCAGCTCCAGGTCTTTTTATTAGCCCACAGTATGTGTCACTTACTTTATACACACACACATACACAGCTCTGGCTCATCTCCATGCTACTGTCACAGCAGAAGATCTATCCATGTGCAGAGTGCAGTGACACAGAGATAAGCAGCTACCTGAGCGCAGTGGCCTCAGTTGTCAGAATAAAACACAGAGGCATCACAGAAGTCAACATACACTTAAAACTGAGCAATACAGGCCAAAGTTATAGATTTATATTAATTAAAAATACTTAACAGGGTCCTGTATAGGTCAACAGTGTGGATTGTATTTATCCGATGGGTCGATGAATTGGTAATATAAGCTATGCTGATCTGCTAAAAGAAATAATGGAATCAGTTCACTCTGTCTTAAGCAATAACTAACCGAACACTTTAACATCAAAATAATCAAACTGAATGGAAATTACTTTCTCTTCTGCTGAAACTGGTACTGACATGACTGCTACTATTACGACAACTACTACCACTCTGTCAGCATCAGGCATATTTAAAGTGTGAAAAAATATTATATCTATATATAATTATATATATTCAATCTCAATATAAAAGCCATTTCTGGAACAGTCTAGAGAGGACTAAAGATTTTATTGTTAGTGTATAAAAATATACTTCTTGTAAAAAAAAAGTGCTCTTGCCCACAATTACTTTGTATTATAGATTTATCGATTTTTTAGATTCAGCGTTGACATCTAGTCTAAAAAACTAAAATGCTTAAAAAAATTTTAGAAAATTTACAATTATATTATTACATAGTTTAAGGCAGCAACAGGTCACATTCGAGAAGCTAAAACTAGAGAGAATCTACTTTCTGTCCATTGACCAATAGACTTTTTAACAGCAGCCAGTTTGACATGAAACAGTAGGGTAATCCCAGGTGTTACCAATAATACTAATGAATATTCCATTCCATTTTTCCAGTGGACAAAAAAATACAATAGTAGCACCCTGGCTTTGTTTGAACAGAACCGTAATTAGTATCATGGGTAACACCAGTGTTTACCCTACTATTTCATGTCAAAATTGCTGCTGTGAAAAATGTCTTTTGATAAATTGGCTTATCTTTTCAGCACTTATAGGCTTATTGTCAGCTGCTGGCTGCTAATCAAGTTATCAACTAAAATCAAACTGTACACATAAGAGATAAAAACAAGCACCATCTCCCGGCTGTGATAAATGGCTTTAGGCTACAGATATTGTGCTGCACAGTCTGATACCGTCTGCTAATATCTCATCAGCTGACAGTGTACTGTGAACAACAGGAGAAAAAAAGACACCTTTATATACCTAGTTATGTATGCGCATCCACTATACACACACAGCTCTCCTCTTCTAGGGTATATGGCACCCCTCCAATCACATGCAACCCAATTACAATCACTTGGAACACCCATGCTAATCACCTTCGCCCAATGAGGTGGCATGCTGATTTAAATCAGTGCCACCTCCTCAACCCTAACAATATGATTAGAATCACTAGGCGTCTGACAAAAGAGGCAAGGTTGGCAGAGCAGGCAGCAGATTCATAGATTGTTTTGTTTTCCCACTCTCCTGTTTTTTGTTTATGGACACCGTTTAAACCCTGCATTTATTCTCCTTCTGCCTTGTTCATTATAATGCAGGCAGCATCCTGAGCAGTATCGTGCAGGGACATCTGGAGAACACTTAGGGCCTCCCGCATCCCTACTATGGCTTCAAACACACAACACACATTGACAGATAAAGTTCACACGCGCACTTTAAGTTGGTCTTTGAGTTGGAAACTATGGGGGGAACTTGTTCCAAGACACACAACGTGTACAGCAAAAGCCCTGTTGCTGTAAACATATGCACACCCTTTCCCTTTCCTGACACTGGTGCACTTCAGACAATGAATCACTTTTATTCGCTGAATGCTTTGACTCCGCAGAAAAACAAACACAGTCTGTCTCCCTGCTGCAGGCCTGTCTTGTCCTAAGCAGTATGAAGCTACTTGGCCTTGGGGAGAGTATGGAGGGACAGTCATAAAAGCCCTGTGATGGAGCACCCTCTCTGCTTTTCTCCCAGCACCCCTTTCATTAACCTTGCCACAACAGCAGGAAATCAATATCCATGCACCTTTTTCCCCGTCCAGAAGCTTATTTAGATAGCCAGATGTAAGCAAGCAGGCGCTAGCAACTGAGTAAGAGATGGGACATTTTTCCCCCTTTTCCTTTCCTGCTGGTGATGAAATATTTCCAAAGAAGACTCAAAGCCGGCGGCGTCATCAGCTAAGTGCTATTTGTCCTTGGCAGACCCGGCTGGAGATCAATGCATCAAGATGACAACTTTCAAAGGTAAAATGAGTATGACCGGGGAGGGAGAGATCATCAATACTCAGCCTTTGGGCTGTTTAGTATTCCCTCACACGATGATCAGAATACAATGATAACTTCACACCACGTGTAGAGACGTTCAGGCTTCTAATTAGACTGCTGCTGTGGAAGCAGATGTGAACAGCTGGAAGCACTCATCAAGCTCAAGATCATTAACCAGTGCTCAGACCCTGACAGGCTAAATGGATGAACAGATACATCAATGGATAGGTATCAGGCAGGCTAACTGACTAACTGGCTACCACCTGCTGCCATTCTGGAGGCCACAAAATGTTACTGTTTTGTCAGCTTCTACAGATACAAACTTTATGCACCAATCCAATCTGCCGGCTCGGTATCAGGACAGATACTGACCTTTTTAAGCAGATCAGGTATTGTAGCTAATCCAATTTCACATCATTCTAAATATACGTATGTGTTTATGCTATGATTATTAGGTTACAGCAGACTACCAACCCCAACAAATGTGGGGTACTGATATTGGATCTAAAAGTAGCCTTTTGTTGCAGAGTTTGCAAGAGTGAAGTTAACTTAAAGCTGCATTAATTGGTTTTCGTCCATTTGGGGGCTCCACAAAATGCTAAAAAAATGCACACCTCTTTCATTTGATCAAGTGAAGTTGCATATTTAAACATCCAGTAGCCACAGAACAACATTAGCATTCATTTGGAGTCGTGTTTCTATTGTCTTAATAAATCCAAGTCCAATATTTACCAAACCCTGACTCCTTAGCTGCTAGATGCTCCACTTTTCTCTCTAGCTAATCAGTTAGGCTCCTCTGACGTTAGGCACTGGGCAGGAAGCGTACAGTGGATTTATGAGGGCATTTTAGCTGAAATCAGCTCCCTGCTACTGCTGGAAACAGTACTGATAAATGCAACAGACCTAACCCAAAACAATGAGCTAATCAAGACTAAGAAGCTCCACAGAGCTGCAGAGTTTATGATAATTCTCTGTGGGTTTGTCATTACAAGAAACCCCTATCACACTGAACAGAGCTATTTGATCAGCTTTTAATATAAAACAATTTGTGGCTCTGCAAAGTTGCATTTCTTTTTTCCTGAAGTTAACATTATTCCGTCTAACTTCCTGTATCAGTACACATGGATACAAAGACTCATAAGTCACTTTTCCTGTTCCATGTCCAATCCCTGCAGGAGAATTCCAAGGCTTGATGTTGCTGGACCGAGATACAACATGTTGCCCAAACAGGTCACTGGAAGGCTGCCTATCACAAGTGGAACAGAAACCCTCTCAGCTGGATGGCCTAGTTAAGTTTTTTACTCTGTGTGTGTGTGTGTGTGTGTATGTATCTGTCCAAAACTATGCATTAGGTTGATATCAGCTTGGTCCCTGTCATCTATCTGAGGGAGCCCCTTGCTGGAAGTTAAGCCTCTCTGTGCTGGTGAGGGGCCTGTGGAAAGCATGGCACTGCAGCGGAGCAATTTCTTACTGCAGGGGGCCAAGGGTAGCCAACAAAGCTAGGCCAACTCCCGGGCTGCCGTCAGCCAGCTTTTCTTCTCCCTTCTCCAGCCCTTTAATCCATGGCCACTGCCACGGGCCTCATTCCTTCACAAGCTGGGCAAAAGGCGCAGCACTCGCTCCTCATGGCCCTGGGGATATATATTACCTTGGTGTACGTGATGTTGCTGGGTTATAGTGAGGTGTGAATCAATCATTGTCTTCAGATTTTCTCTTTACTCTTCATCATCAATGAATGCACTCCAGGACTGAGATTCAGGACCTTTTCATAATATAACATTCTGTCTCTAACCACATGCATCAGTGGTGTATTGAGGATATATTGACGACTGACCCTGATGGT